CCGCCCGGCCTTTCTAGCTGCGTACCTTCGCGTTTCTTTCCTTCAGGCCTGGGCAAACCCCATGCCGCGACACCGCCAATTACACCCTCGTAAATCGGCCTGCCAATTTGTCACCCGCAATTCGTCCGTCTGAATTTCAGCGTCCCTTATCGCGTCACGGCCGACACGTCCTCTCCACTTGAGCTCTCTCATGATTTCGACACGCCAAGGCCTCTCGACTGCCAACGGATGGGGAGAGCGAGCTTTAATGCATTTTTTCAATTCGCCGTGGGAACCGCTGCCAAGTGATTACGCGCGAGGCTGAACGTTAACTTTCCGCGTACATACCGTGACTCGCGCGCGATGCCTCGAAATTACATTTTCATACGACAAATCTTATGATACCACAATTTGTCGTTTCGGACGATTTTTATGGGCCGCGGAGAAATCGCCACGAAGAGGAGCCACGGAGAGATTAACGTCCGCGGGCAGATCGAATTCCCCTCCTTGCGAGTCGTGGCTCGCGCGCACGATTTTTTTGTCGCTCGCGAAATACCAGCGAACATCTGGCAAACTGTTAATATTGAGGCTGCCTAGACCAACACGACCGGCCAACATTCGGCCGCGGCTTACGAGGCAAAGCAAATAAACAAGAATTAAATCTGGAAGGCTGTATCGCAGCAAGACGACGCCCGTAGGATTTCTATGGGGGATTTGGTATAGTGACGAGTGAAAAACCGGGGTGATTAAGCACCGTCGATGCGAACGAGAAAATAAGTTTATGCAAAAGTGGAGGGTGTATAATCGCGCGTCAGGTCGCGCCAAATGAAGCGCGTTCAATTGAACACGTCTCTCTGTCCCCCCCCCCCGCCGCCAGAGAGAGTCCTCGCTCGTTGGATCTTTAATTTTATCGAGTGACGTAATCTGATTTGCACGGTTCGTTTAATGACGATGTCGATAAATACGGCCCCCGTGAGGTCCGCGTTGCCGCCTCCGAAAGTCGAGGCGGCATCTACGCGTTATTAAATATAGCGTTCAAGGAAGGAACCGGGGTCTGAATCATCGGACGTATGTATAGCAACAAGTTTGACACGCCACGTCAAGCTGAGCGCGAGAAGTATTACGGAAACGACCGGAAGCGAGGTGCCGAATACTTTCTCTCTGTCTCTCTCGTGTGCACGTGAACGGGCGCGTGCGCACGTGCAACGATCGCTTCCGCAGTAAGCACGAGCTAAGTATAGCCGTTTGGCCAGCGGCATTGTTATTGCTTGCACAGCGGGAGTGTTCGGCTTGGGATCCGTGTTTATGAAGGGTCCGCTGCTCGACCGAGTTATGGCCTCAGGTGTATTCGGATATTACGACTCGAGTAGGGCCGATCGGTAAACGGCCGCCCTCGTAAACGCAGGTACAGTCGACGCCGGGCGTTTAGCCGCGTTTACGGAAAACGTTCGACCAGGAGCCATCCCAATGAATGAAATCAGCGTCTCGAAGGAAGCCCCGGACGCGCTCGAAGCGCCTCGTAAAACCGCCTCGGTGAATATAAGCGTTAGATTAAGATTTGCATAACCGTCGTACTCTCGGCCGAAGTGTTTCAATGCGATCGCGGGATACCGAGAGCTAACGCGTTCGATGCGTATAGAGCGGCGCGCGTTACACGGCGCGAATTTACGGTAAAATTAGCAGCAACTCCGTCGGATGAATTAGATCCAGAAAAGAAGGATTCGCGTCCGTTGTATGTGGAGGAAATCGAGAGATTTCAGCTCTGTTATTCGAGGAGGAGATCGCACCATCGACGAACATCTGTTTAAATATCGTTCTAGCTGTTCTATCTTATCAGGGCACGATAAACACGACACAAGGATAAATACGTGCCAATGGTTCCACAACTTTCGAAAGGGCAATTTCTTTATTCACATATACGCTTCAACGATTAAATAATATGGAAAAACGTAATTCGCACCTGTTGTAAATGATTCGTATTATTAAGTTCGACTTTGTTGCAAAAATATTCCATTTTAGGAACGGATTTTTTTCTTCGTTATATTTAAGTTGACGAGTAATCAGATTACTCATGAAATTATGATTATTTATCAAGTGACGAGATATTTACTAAATTGACGGCCGACGAAAATGCCAGCCCTAGATTCTAAATTTTGACTCGACATGTCCATTTGTTTTCGGTGATTTCGCGCTTCAAATGTACGTTCAATTTGTATCATTTGAATGAATAATTTAATGCACCTAAAAATGTGTGAGGTACTGATACGCACATTTGCATCCTGCATCCTCCGTCTCGACTTCCATAATCCTGCTTCTGATGTTCCATCGTGCTACCGATACTCGCGTGGATATAATTTGATCGGAGAAACGCGTGTTTAATTAACCCGATGCCGACGAGAAACTGATTAAATATTTCAATATTTCAATAGTCGACGAAATATTCGAATCACCCGACGGGAATTGTAAATAGAACACAAATACGCCGCGTCGCAGTGTGCACGTCGCTCGTCAGCTCGAGACGTGATGACTCGGTCACAGACAAATATACACTGCGAGAATTTCAAAACAATTGGCATCTTCGAAAGGTACTCCCGACTAACTGATAATAAGCACATTCGGTGAGCAGAAAGTCACGATTAACGTTCTGAGAAAATCTGAGACTCGAAATTCTAAATTTTGACTAGAAACTCAAGTCAACGCAACGAGAACGATACGTGTATCTCCGTCGTCGGATTGGACTAACCGCGCAATTTCGGATGGAGCGGTTTCGCCGCGACGCATATATCACGGGAATCGGACGTGCAGATTTTTTTCAGATATATCTCGTAGGCGGCCAACACGCGGAAACCGCGTGCGTCCAAACGAAAAAAAAAAACGAAGAAAAAAGGAGGAAAAAAATGTCGACGCTCGCACGCGCGTATGTGTGTGCGTCTGCCTCTTCATAAAGTCATAACTCAACTGTACCCCCTCGGCACATCCCACGGCATAACATTTAAAACGATTTCCGCTGGCAGCGGTGCCAAGACCGTAGCAGCGTTGTTTCGGGGATAGATTAACGAAACATAACGCCAGTACTCGCTACGGACTTCCAAGGGGTAGCTCAGATAATGGGAAGGGGCGTGTTGGCACTGCTCTGGCAGTTAAGCAGCGTTCAGTGCCGGCTCGGCCGCCGGCCGACTACGATCGATAGTAAATTTCGGGAGTTTCGAGAGAGTGCGGGCCTCGTCCGCGAAACACCTCGCAACGATAGTCCCGCGGAAAGAAACACGCCGGTGCAGCCTAAAAGATGACCGGTTGATAAGCGAGTCGCGTGCTCGTCGGGATTAACCTTAAAATACTGACGTGCATCTCTGAGACATAGATAATTTTTGTGAACCTCCCCCTCTCCTCTGTTTCTCACCCCATTAAGACACTACTATTTTATTTTATATTTTGAGAAAAAAATATATATACACACACGAATATATCATATTAAGCTTGGAGTGGTCGCGTATATAAATGCAATATGAGTGGTGGCGTGGATGCCAAGTGCCTACTATGTCCGCTATTTTAAATTGATATTTTCAATGAAAACATCGCTTTAAAAAAGTAACATTTATTTGCATGGAAACAATAATCATAAAAGATTTTATTTAAAACGAACGAGAGCAGTCCATAACTGACAAATACACGGAAGCGTAAGATGGGTACTTGTTAATATTTTTCGGAAAATATATTTTAGTGCGCATGGATGATATCTGTCATCCGCGCGACCACTGTGGAATTATAGTCTTTTTTCCACTTTTTAAATACTACACGTCTCCCTTTTAAGACATAGAATTAAGAGCGCAGGTTCGGGGTGAAGGTTAGTATTCTAAGCTCAATTGCGGCTCATTGTGCCGTGATATTATTCGTATGCTCGCGCGAGCAGAATACAACGTTGATATACGAGGGAATGGCGAGCGTCGCGCGCGTTATGGACGCGATAAACGTCCGGCAGAAATCTCCCGGATATCCCGAAGATATCATAACTTTCTAACATTGTGCGACCGAGAGCTATGTCGAGTTAGCAACTCGGACGGCGGCCGTGCTAGCGGCGTAACGTCCGGCGTTATTTACGACATTACTCGCCATAAATATGGAGGAGCCATCCGTGCCGTTCGGACCGTACGATTATAGAGCGCCATTTCTTTCGCCCTTCTTTCCACCCCCGAGACGACGACGACTTTCTCCGTTCGCCGCACGCGCGGGACTCGGCCGAATGTAAATGCCGTGGGGACGGATCGCGGCGGTGGCAGGGGAAACGCGCGGTTCTCGTGCCACCGGGGAATAAGAATACGCGTGTCCGGCCCTGGCGGAGAGTTTCACCGTGCGGAAAGTCTGATGATACATCGCGGACTCGTCGCGTCAGTGCCACCCCCGGCGCGATCGCACGCTCCTTCCTTTACCGACCCTCTCTTTCCCGCGTAAATGGCCTTTCGGCGTTAAGAGATTAACTCGTCACGTCGGGCCATTTTAATATCCCGGGTCGCGCGGCGGTGGCGAATCGCCGAAATTAGTCGGAGAAACGGCATACGGCTCCCGACGGCGATAAGTATCCGTTACTGTCCCGCTTTTTGCGCGCTTCGATTAAAAATTATAGACGGGTGTCGTCCGCGTATTGCTCACGATGGCCGTTCCATGAAGCATGGGGCGAAATCGAGACTAAATAAATCGATGTTTTGAAGTTTCGCCCGCAAACTTGGAGCACTTCCAACGCCTCCCTCGCTTTTGAAACGCTCGGCGGCGTTGGTCTCAACGGCTAATTTCCGCGTATCCGAGGTATTCGTAATAAGGAACGGTTCTGGATTATGATGTATCCGTGGAAACGCGCGCGCTCCGATGAAACTTGGCGATTGCGAAAAATATATCGCCTCTTCGGTTCACAGTTACGAAGTACGGCGGCGAATAACGAGAGAGAGAGAGAGAGCAGCTTATTAAGCGAGACTGAGATAAAATTTGTCCGTGGGTGGAAAGTGAGCACGATACGAAATGAGTTGGCATTACAGGAGTATAATTGGCTGAAAAGTAGGTAAACTGCGCAGTAAACGCTTGTAAACACTCACCCCTGGTAAAGTCCGCTTCTCATGCAGAGCGTTCTGGGCGCTGATTGCGCTGTCACGGCTGTAGTAGGTGAGGAACGCGCAACCTGCAAGCAGAGAACGAGTTGTTGTTATCGATGGCGAGTGTTACAGCACGACGGCGGTTTCGTTACATTAAGACCCGTCTATATGGGCGGCAAAACGCAGACGCGTGTGTGAAATGACGTGTGAACGTTCCGCTGCTAAGGGACAGGCATTTGCAAATCGGCCATGCGCAACGAGTTAAATCAACCTCCTGCTTTCTGCGTCGACTAATCGGAGGAAAGCAAAAGATAACTGTTACTTTCCTGCTCGTTTAACAATTGCGTTTTGCATGTTCACGGGTAGAAATGAATCGGGGTGTGCTGCACGTCTGTAATCGTAAGTAGACACGCCCCGAAATAAGCCTGCCTTCGTTGGACCTAGATATGGCCAAGAAAGGCGAATTCTGAATGGAATTTCGTGAATAGGCCTTGAATAGGCACTGACATGGATGCTCCTAACAAGGCCTGTCGTAGGGCCCAGCCAGGGCCTAGTTAGCCAATTCCTGAAATAGTTTAGGGGTCATTCAACAATTATGTCACGCTATGAGAGGGGAAGGGGTCTATTAGCTTGCGTGACGGCTTGTGATGGCAGGGAGGGGAGAGTAAAGGTCATGGAACGTCACATTAAGCCCTCGGCACACAGTGCTTATTTCCGAGCTGAATCTAAGAAAAATCTAATAACATAATGTGGAAGGGGGTGAGTAATTTCACATATCACGTAATATTGGAAGGCGATCCAAATACTTTGTGACAAAGTGTGACGAAGAAGAAGGGAGAGTAAAAAACACTGCAATTTCGCATGAAAGTGAGATCTTGAAGAGGCTTAAGTGAGATTCACCATAACAAGATCGAAAATAAGGTCAGGTTAATTAACTTTGATTTTGACTTTCGATAATAATGTTTAAGTAGAAAGTTTAACACAAACGGGCTACAAGTCCGCATTTGAATTTTCTTATAAATCGATAGCGCAAAAAGATACGATCTAATCGGACTGCTAAGATAGGGCCTAGTTAGATTGACGAATCTAGCTCCAACGTGTACATGCGTTACATTTCTGCGTAGAGCCTAAGTGGGCTCGCGCAGACACGCGAATTCGGACGGAGTAATCACTCTGAGGCATATTACGACGTGCTCGTGAGCGCTTATCGACGAGGCGGTCTTGCGAGTAAAACGAAAAGCTTTCCGCACAGCTGCGAGTTGAGATTCGACGGAATAAAAGTTTTACACCGCTCCCGCATCAACTGGCGCAGAGCGCGAGGCGCGGGCTTAAGGTCGATCATGGATACGCGATCTTTCGCTGTACTCGGCGCCGCCGCCGCAATTACGTGACGCGAGTCAATGTGTTACCGTAATTAGACAGGGGCCGGTGGAAAGTTCTCGCTGCGTAATTGCCGGCGCGGCACACATTCGCGGGAACTTTTACGTAATCTTTATGACGCACGACGCGCGAGGACCGGCCGAGAGCGGAGTCCGCTCGCTCGCTCCGGAAATGTACGGATTTCACGCAGTTGCGGATTCCCCGAAAGGCGGCTGCGAAAATAAACGTGACCGTTTTCCGCCGTGTTTCCAACTGAGAGAAAGGGAGAGATCTCGCTCGGCGATTTTGTCAACAGCGGAAGAATCATTTCTCGCCCGGGACACTCCCGGGGAATTCCTTACTCGCGACACATTTCGATCGTACGATACACCGTCACCCGTAAAACATGTCGCTTAATCGCGCACCACGTTATGTGAGTCCACTGCGCTATCATCTTCGTCAGATAGTAATATCGATGTAGCGACGGAAACAACTCACCCTCTCCCTTCGTCTCGACCCCACCCTTCCACTCTCCCTACGCCCGGTTGCTCGCTCACGCAAGCCTCGCGAGTTAGAATCAGGCCGTTATCTCGCGGTTGATATAAATAGCCCCGTATTAGTCGCACTTCAAAAGTTCATATGTTCCTTATCCGCGAGCGTAAAATTGTGCAAGTTTATAATTTATAAGGAAAAAAGGAAAAAAAATGCGAGGGGGATCGTTCCCGACACATCGATGGCCGTCGACGACTCGGACAGATATCTCACGCAAAATCGCCGCCGCGGGATGACGATAGCGCTTCGCCCGAGTGATCCGCGAAGCGAACGATAACGATAGATGGTCGCGACAACAAATCGTAGAAGGGGATTCCGCGTGATGTACGGTGGCCGGCCGCGCGCAAAGTCCGAGGGAATATCGGGGAGAGATAAATATCTGTCCCGGTAGAATCAATTCGGCGCGAGACTACATTCACGGTTTAAGAAATGGCATCGATATCGCGGCGGGTTAAAACGATGGTAATTAACCCGAGAATTGGACGGTGCCTGAACCAGACCATTATCGGCTATCGCACTGTCGAGCAAACCCCTTGGGACCGCCTTCCTATCGGTCTGAGGATTTATTCAAAGGGCCTCTCGGTCCTATCTGATCGTCATTTGACTATCTCAACACAGCGAGATGGATGTAAGCAAGCACGCGCGCCGCCAGAGCCGCGGACAGACCCGGGAAAGCAAGATTGCGCAGTATTTATGACACGACTCTATCAGCGCGACTCTGTCACTTACGGAATTCATTAAATTCGTGCGCGCAGATCTCATTCGCGCGCTCGTAATCCAGCACGTGATTTATGCCGTAAACGCGCGACGTCTTACTTCTTAACAATTACCACCATCTCATCGCGAGAGTCGAAATCGATTCGTTCGCGTCATTGGTATGCTGTATCCATCACTCTCGGAAAAAGGTGAAGAGTGAAAGATTGACGCTCGAAATTACTGAAATCATTTCTTTCCGAGATGCTGTTCTGGCGATCACGAGCGTATTATAGAATTTGTACGAAGCGCCACCCCGGACTCTTTCCGCGCACAATCGCTGTCGACCGTTCGGTAACTTTGTTGCCAGACGCGTTAAATAATTAGAACACTCGGAACTGTCGATAATCGGCGGCGAATCGACGCTGATTTCTCTCCCCCTCTCGTTCGCGCAAAGGACGGGAAGTTAAATCCTCGGCTACTGTTTTACGGCGCGGAGAACTCGGGGACGTTTTAATCTCGCGCTCGAGGACTTCGACGACGCAGTTTCACGAGAACGGCGGCGTATGCACCGGCATGCGGCAGTTTCTCCCTGAAGAGTCACGTCGCGAAGGCGAGGGAACGAGGAAGTAAAAGAGGCGAGAGACGGGGCGCGCACTTGTAATTTTTCATGCGGCACGTCGCACGCGTCCAGAGCTCGCTCGGTTATCTCCGGCACCGCAGTACGTCTCATTCGCACGTAGAGCGTCCAACCTAACCCGTGTAAAAGCCGGAGGTCGAGAACGGAACGCGTCGCGGCCGTCGGTCTACGCGAAAGTTCGCGAGGGGTTGTAGCCTCCGGCTGGTCACGACGCGTATACTCGACGTCAGATACGGGGCGCCACGCTCGTAACCTAACCCCAGCCTGCCCACTAGAGGAATGCCCGAAAATATTTATAAACATCGCTGGCGCTTATCTTAATTGCATTGGGACGGCTCGGCCATTCGCCCGGCGGATACCGGCGGGAATAGAAAACTTCGCCGCGGCAAATCGCACGCCCCGCGGGCTTCCCGGATGAATTAGCTCCGAGCGACGGCGGGGACGATCGCCTCCTCGCGCCGTCGTGAATCTCCGTCGGTGTTTTTTGGCGAAATTCAATCTACGAAGGGCGCGAGATAGTCGACCCCGGAGACCAGAAATAAGATAGGAAGAGGAAGCGGCCACTCGTAACGCGGTAAACAGTGCGGCAAGTTTGACGTGCAAGTTTAACTTTAGAATCCGCTGTTTACACCGTCCAGCCGAGAACACTTTTGAAGCGCCTATTTACGAAATACGACAGCTCGCGTGTGCGCGCGACCGCCCTGTAACCGAGAACGGTCCATTCGGCCAGTTCTCCTCGCGTTAATTGCACTTTTACGTACAATTGGATTCCGCCGCGTTGTCGCTCATTATTAATGACTTTGCTAAACTGAAAGAGTAATTGCATAGAAATGCACAGTTTCGTGCATTATGATGAATAAATTTACCAGGCATGAGTTTTATTAGCAGCGAAACGTGTGGAAGTTAAATTAATTAGCCTTAATTCAGTTGCAATTCCAGAAACCAACCACAGATATTACGTTAATTGCCTAGCATATATATATATATATATATAAAATTATTACTGAAGAAATTTACGCCTACTTTTACGACAGTTATTCGTGACGCAAGAGTGCCGCGCCTTTAAATATCTTAATACTCCTACTTCGGCATTTGTAACATTTCCTTCATAAAATTAAACTTCTTTATTCTCTCTACATTTATGTGCATGTACGTGTGTATAACTGTGTGCTATATTATAATATAACATAAATAGAACTCACATATACACACGCATGCACACATCGCAGTCCCTCGTGTATCTCACGGAAAGATATCAAGATGGAAACACGAGGAGCGTCTCGGTCCGACTCGCGCCGTCTGTTTCTACTGTGCGCGTTCGCGCGAGCGAAACGAGACTTCCGTGTCGTCTTCGTCGCGATCTCGCGCGAACAAATTCAACGCGAGCGTCCGTTAGACTCGCAGGCTCCGGGGCTGCGGAATTCCGGAATCGCGAAGACAAAGCGCATCAGTATAGCGGAACGCGGAAATGACATTAATCAATAATTCGTGTCTACCGACGCGGCGTGCGGTAATGAACGGGTTTCCAGCGGCGGCACGATCCTGTCGGCGCCTTCGCGAGGTGCAAAGGTGGGGCAAAGGAGACGAAGAATCTCGCGTGCCTCTCACGATTGGCACTGTAGCACACACACACACACACACACACACACGCATACGTACACGATCGTTCTCAACGAGGTGTCTGGGACCTCACGGTTGCACCCGCGAGAGTGTACAACCCCGCTATCCCACCTCCAAAATCTCACGATAGCTATCCCCAGCCGGGATCGCCTTATCAATCACCATGTCTCATGGTTACAACGAGCGCGATAACGAACTCGAAACCACTGCGCTAACGTGCGC